GAACATCGAATTTGGAGATGGATAATATCAAAAATTCATTAATAGACGTCAATAGACGAATGAAATTCCTCATGGAAGAATCTGAAGATATGAAAATTGGAATTGAGCAATTAGAAGAAATGGCAGAATCTATCCAACAAAATGTCAAATTGTTGGTGGAAATCTCTAATTCTCATTCCAAATATACCAAAGAATTGAATGACAGAATTGTTGATATTACTTCACAATTCGAGTCATTAGATACCAAACAGGAAATGCCAATTGATACAATCTCAAAAATACAAACAGGTACACAGTCAGGAAGTAGCAGTGACCCAGCAATATCAAACGAGACATAGCAAGTCCCCGAAAGGTGACTATAAAAAATGGTGATGAGCATACAAGAGTTATAAGAATCAAAACTGATGAAGATGATGATACCCCTTTGTCATCAAAAGAAGAAGAATATAGATCATTTGCCAAAATTGTTTATGAATTGGAAGAAAATGAATCTTATTTTATTTCATCAGGGGATCATGTTTATCCAAGATTAATAATTACCAAAGATGCAGACCCTTTCATGGTCAAAATGACAGCAGATTATGGATTTCTGGTTTTGATTTATCCAGGAAAAGATTTAAAAGAAATTGAAAAATTTGATGATATATTCAGGGCAGAAGTTTCAAAATTTGCCCAAGGGAGATCGATTTATATCAAATTTTATTCAATAAGTCCTGAAGTTGATGGAAGGATATATTATCCTGCTGAACATATCATTACAATTGGATATGTTGGCCGAGATTTCCAGATTGAAGTTGGCCGAAATAATAAACCATTGCCAAAAATCAATAGATCATGGATAAAATCCCGGAGAGTTTTGGGGATGAAAGTTCTTTACAACATTGCAAAGAACTTATATGATAAAAAATTAAGATGCTTGTGCCAATATGAAGGATGGACCCTCCTTACAAACAATGGAAAAGAAAAATCTACAATTTTGAAGGAATATATCCTAAAATTTGATACCCATCAAATTAGTGGAAGTCCAACAACAATCCAAGAATCATGCAGATTGAGGGAGTGCCCCACATGTAGACAAAATTGAAGGATTGATAAATGGAAAAGGACCTACCACTACCAAAGCATCTAGCCAGTTGCAAATAAAGCCAAAGATGGAGAAGCAATAATAGAAAAGCATCTAGCCAGCTGCATATGAAGCCAAAGATGATAAGGCAATAATAGAAGAAAGGAGGTCCCTTTGATGAAAATTCAAAGAATGCATGTGAAAATGTAGACCCCAGGAGGAAAAGAATAGAGAGGCATGTGAGCCTTTTTTCAAAAATCTGATGTATGCAATGATGTAATAGATCAATAATAGTGAGTTTGAATCATGTATAAATAGAGGTATTTGGGAAAGAATGGATCATCTCGAGTTAGAAACCATTCTCTTTCCTTAAGCTTTTTTCAAAACCAGTTTTTCTGAAAACCCCTTGTATACAATATAAATCTTGTATAAATTATTATAGAAATAAAATCTCAATCTTTTGATATGAGAAAGATATGAGTTTCTAAACTTACTATCCCATAGATTCTTGATAGATTGAAGAAGATAATCTCTTTCTTACTTTAACAAAGAGAGAATTTTCTTTACTTAAGATCTCTATTCTTAATTCTAAGAAAAAATACAGTGAGGGCAAGAAGCTGAAATAGCAGAATTCCCATTGAGGCAAGAGGCCGTTTAAGGGAGCAGTTTGCAGTTTCAGAGCCTGAAGGTCACTCGGTTCTAAGAATACAGATTTAAGATCAAAAGTAAGGTAAAATTATTGTCTTTGTTAAATTTAGAAAGAATTCTTCTAATATCTTGAAAGAATTGTAGGGATTATTATTGTTCATGTCTGTAAAAAACTTATCTAAATATGTTATTATTCATAAAGTTTCCAAGGAATTATTTGAATAATGCCAGGTTATACAATTAAAGGATTAGATAATCTGTTAGATAGATTAATGGAAAAAATAGAAAATATTTATTCTCAATTAGAGATTATGGATATATTATCGAAGGAATTTGATAATCTTAGAAAATTACATGACAATTATATTACAGATTATGCTAATTTATTAGATCAAAGGATGAAATTATATATTAAAACTCGAAATGAAAGAAATAGAGGAATTTAAAACTATCCCAATAAATTAAGGATATCTTGTGCAATATATGATAAATTATTTCATTAAGGGTATAATAGACATTTTATCAAAAATGAATAGTAGCAGGTCATTTATAATAATACCCCCTCAAAAAGAGTTAAATTACATCACGGCATCTGCATTTTGTTAAATATCTTTCACCGTCCTTTCAGTATTATTCTACAAAGATATGTACACGAAAATACGATCGTCAAAGGCAAAACAAAGACATCTGCTTAATGTTACAAGAAAAGGTACAAACTATAGTTTTTGCTATGGCTTCTCCAAAATAGGCCTCATATTGCGGAGGCGTGAATCTGCAGCCTTTACCGAACATCCGCATTAGTCTACTTGAGGCTTCGAATTCTGTAAATCGTCAGAGAAGACAGTTTAAGTCGAGGTTAAAGATTTTCCCAGGAGATGAATATCAACAGCTTTTTAACTTGTTGATGATACAAAAAAACAACCCTTCAAGCAGTCTCCTGGAAGCTAATGGATCGAGATAACGCCGCAGGGTTAGCCTGCAACACAGAGGAGGGGGCCACAAGGGATTTTTTCTCATCACCTTTCCGTTGCAAGGCCTTAAAAAGTTCTTCCCTGCTAATGGAATTGTACTTGATCCCGAGTGTTGCCCATATGGAACTCTTTGCAGCTTCATCAGGATCATCAATCCTCAAAGTTTTCGGAATTAGTATCGAGCTTCCTGAATTCTTCTCTGACGCACATTCTCTGCCTTCTGGATTATTTGGCTTAATCAATTCACCATCCCTTGAATGCTTCCCCAAAGGTGAGTCGGGAGGACCAGAACCTGATTTCTTTTCATTTGATGTAGGAGATGGAACTGATAACCCTGGAACATTCCAAGCACTAGGGACACCACAATTCCAGTAGGGTGTCGGGTAGAATGGCATGGGAAATCCCGGAGGACAAATGGCTGGCACGGGAACGGCAAAATTCCAGGGTAAATGCCAAGGAACCCCAGGAATACAAGGAACTGGAGTAGGAAAGCCATTTATATTTTTCATCGTCGGCTCTTGGAGCCTTTTTTTTACTCCATCTCCCATTGAATTTGCTGCAGTCAAGGAAGAGCGACTACAACAATCATCACCATTTTCCCCACCTTTGCATGAAACCTGGACCTGGACGCCCTGATCCATCTTAGAGCACCCGTTTTGAATACCATTTGGTACATTTTTTTGTACAATATTCAAAACAGAAGCCATAGATTCACAAAGAGATGAATCAGGACCGAAAGACAGCAAAGTGCCGTTTGGTTTAAATGCCGGATGATGAAAACCATTAGGAATGTCAATTCTTGCTGCCTCGAGTGCTTCAGAGATTGTAATGTGACGACAATGAGAGACAGAATTCTTGTTCTTACGACGACCAGCTCCCACCGGAACATTCCTCATTGTACCTCCATCCGTCCAATATCTCTGACAGCTCTTGCAAAAATGCCGAGGTTGATTAACATTGTAATTGTTGTAGTAACAAAACTTTGTATCCATGCTGTTGCAACGGGGGCAGGGAAGAAGTTTGTCTGGCTTCTTCAATGTCTTTTGTTGTGAATTTGTCGAATAATTTTGATCATTTTCATTTCTGGGAGGATTTTCCGATACATCATCTTCATCAACGGAGGGAGTTTTAGGATTGTCAGCTGACTCTGTCAGAGTATTAGGATTCTGTGAATCCTTAGACACAGCTTGTTGTTGGTCGTCTTCTTGTGCGTTGCTTTTACAGAATTCTCCACCTATTTGGTGCTAAAATTCACAAATAAATTCCAATCAGCTACAGGCATAATAGCGTTACTCTTCGATACTGCTAACTTTTTTCTTTAGAACATAAATGTACCACTACTTTTGCTCATGGACGAAATAAAAAAGGCTGGTACCATAGAACAACTTCTTATACCCAATTATTTAATCCAACAGAATTGAATTTAGTATCCGAAATCGAGCAAAAATAGCAAAACACGGTATTGGAAATATTCGAAAGTCATCTAATTACAGAAACATTCTAAACAATAATACTTATCACTGGACAAGTATTGACCCTTTTGAGCAAGGAATATATCCAAATTCCCACATCTTAATCAAGAGACTCGTGTAAAATAGAAAAAACCAAACTGGATGCAGAACTTTCCAGAATAAAGACCTTTTGTGTAAACCAATAGATTCAACTGGACAAACTGTCAAGTGCAGTACACTAGAAAATTCCACTGGTTTGAGGTCATATAACTTTCTGGAACTCTTATAAATGGAAGAAAATTCTTGGTACTACGCGTCTACGCTAGTAAGGTGGACTGAATAGGACTAAGTCGAGTTTTCTTCAATAATGAGAAGTCAATCATCACAGTAATTGCTTAAAGGATAAGAGAAACAAGGCCTTAGACCAATTTCAAATATAAGACCCTGTATATATGTGTGTAAAAATACATGTATAATAAAAAATAAAAATAAATTTTTTTTTGAGCGCTCACCAAAGTGGGCCTTAGGCAATCGCCTAACTCGCCTAAAGAGCCAGCACTACCGAAAAATGACACAGAAAACTTTACTCGAAAAAAAGAAAAGAAAAGAAACAAAGAACCGTATTGCAAATATTTCTAACCAAATTAAACAGATTAAGAACACAAGAAACCCCCATTAACCCCAGATTTTTCATATCCAAGATTTGCGTAAAGATTCTCTGATATCCAGAAAATAACATCAACTTGGTGTTCCAACATCTGGGTTCCTCCAAAAATTTACAGAATAATACATCAATGTTATTTATCAGTCACTTATATGCTGTGTGTGGAAAAATCAAAGCTTTTACCTCCTTATTTTGCTGATTTTCTTCATCTGATTTTCCAGTATCTTCTTCCTCTTGATGTATTCTGGTAACTTTTTCACCATTCAAACACCGATCCGACTCCATCCCACAACTACTGTCGTCGGAGGACTTACCGGAGACCACTTTCCCATTCTCCGGCAGCACAATCTTCCTACCAAATAACTTAATCTCCGGCTCCTTCATTTTCCCGATTATTTCAATGAAGTTCTAAGTAAATTATTGAATTTTCCTTGTTGGCAATATTGGCGAGTTTGATTTTGATCTGCTGCATTTAACGCCTTCAAAATGTGGATACCACGTCATCATGGGTCCGATTTTCTCAGCCACACGTTTTTTCTCTTATTTTTAATAATTTTGCCCCACGAAATTCATAAATCTTAGGTGCATGGAAATTCGGTGCTGCCTATATCTGGGTGTACCGAATTTTCTGTTACATGTTTGAAAAAACTCGAACTTCCTGTGACGTGTAATAAAAGTATTGCTTGGAGACCGGATAAGGGTTGTACTTTGGTGTGTTCGAGTTCCAGGTGATTAAGGTCAGATCACTGCCAAATATGATCAGATCTTGTCTGTAATTTTACGGCTCTGATTTCTTCTTTGTAATTCTCAGGAAAGTACACTTTTTGAATGATTGTGTTAACTTTTTTCCTTTTTTTCCTTTTTAGGTTTTTCTATTTCCTTTTTTTTTTTTTTTTTTTTTTTTTTTTTTTTTTTTTTTTTTTTTTTTTTAAAAAAATTTTTTTTTTTTTTTTTCTTTTTGGTTTTTTTTTTTTCTTTTTTTTTTTTTTTTTTTTTTTGTGTTGACTCTATTCATATTTATTTAAAAAATTGTCATATGCATTTGAATTTAAAAGAATATATAAATAAACATTGCCATTGTTTTAGCCCCATTTTTTCATCAAAATACATTCTTCAACAGTAATTTGATATCATTTCAACCACACATTATTCAATAAAATAATGTTATACGCGAATCAAAAACTTTTTCTTATTTTTTAATCATACATTTCCCATCAATACACTATTCAAAAAATCATTTTTTCCTCTGAAATGGGGCTCAAACAAGGGTTTGTGTGGGATCAATTAACGATCGAATAATTCAAATGAACAAGTTAACAATCCTCGATTAGTAAAGTATATTGGCATAAATTAGACAGCAAAATTATTGTCAAATTAATAAGATTTATGATATTGGATTTCAATAACAAAGTACTACACGCATTAAACAATATTGTTACTTTATGTTAGTTTTGTTTCTAAACCTGATTAAACAAATAATTTTGATAAACCCATAAAATATAAAAGATTTCTTCAATCTTCATTAATTTGGCAAAGTTGACTATGAACTGTAGAGTATTAGGACATTGTGACGTCAGGAATTACACCTCAAACTATGAAACAAGACAGGTTGGACCCATCATGTGCTTTAATTCAAACTGAATATCTATAAAATTGGGAAATTCTTGCTTAGAGGAATGTTTTTCACATTAGAAATAATTTAAAGCCAGGGCTTTTTTATAACCAAGAATTATGTCTGAAGTGTATCACTGAAATCTGATTTTTATTTAAATTTTTGAAATAAAATTATCAGTATACTTACTTTTTGAGAAAATCTTGTAATTAAAAATTATTTGAAGATATATTTCTAGGTCAAAAGTTCTATGGAAATAATGAGTTAAAGATTAAAATATATAGCTTCATTTGGGGAGACTGAACAATAATAACAAATTAAATTTTATTAGCAGTCCATTTGGAACGAATTAAAATCTGATTTTAATTTAAGAGATAATTAATATTAATAACATTTTTTATGGGTCCCACAACTTTTCAATCATACATTTCAAAATCTTCTATTACAATCTACTAAAAAATCTAAAGATCCTATTTGATTGGGGATATTTTCCTTGGAAAATGTCTCATTTTCCAACTTTTTTGGTGTTTGATTGCAAAAGTTTTCCATGGAATTCATTTTCCATATTTTCCTCACACATGTGCATTTTTCTTATTTTCGGTGAGAATTGGTTTTTCACCATTTTTTTTTTTTTTTTTTTGTAATGAGAACAAATTCTAAGAACAATTGCAAAAGGGAATATCTTTTAAATTGACAATTTTCATGTAAAACAAAGTTAAACGAAGACCAAAATATGTATGATTTTCAGATTTTTTTTTTTTTTTGATAATGGAAATATATTCTAGGAACAATTGTAGAATTGGATACCCCTCAAATTGACAAGTTTCATAAAAAAATAAAGTCAAACAAACACCAAAAAACATATTTATTTCAATATTTTTCAGGTAAAAAAATTATACCTATAAAACACTATTAATTGACAATTTTCAGTAAAACAATTTCTAGGCAATTCAATTCCCTAGAATTTGTTTTTTTTTTTCATCCAAATTTCATATTTGCAATTAAATGGATCTTAATTTTAATTCCCATCAAACACCATCTAGATAAGTTGTGAATTATTTCTTGCCATCTTTTTGAGCCTTTTTGTGCAACCTCTGTTTCTTGAAACTTTGTACGTCATCTTTTCAAAAAATATGTGCAAATAGTCCACATGGTTATGATTATCACCCTCAAGCTTAAATAAATAAAAAGTAACGTAAAAGTGAAGAAGAATGAGAAGGATCTTGTTGTCTAGTCAAATTTTTACAAATGGGTGCAGAAATAATGCATGAGCAAAATATTCATTTGATTTATATTATTAATTTTTTAATAATTTCTACATTAATTTAAAGAAAATTTTAAAAATGTTGAAAAGATGGGTCACCATTTATACCATCGGAGCTCCGCCACTGGGAGGGATTGATTTCCATTTAATAACATATTTTGTGTTACAATTACACCACATTTTAATTATATTAAAGATCATTAATTATTATTCATTATCACACTTATATTCTTAACTTTTTTCTTCATCACATTCTTACTTATAATATTTTATTAATAAGAAAATCTTGTCCTTAATCATGGTTTTCATGCAAAAATATTTTTAACTAAAAGTCCAAGAATAACTAACGAAAAAAAGGGGTGAATTGGTTTTTAAAACTTTTTTGAAGAATTAATCTAAATTCAAGTAAGTAAAGACTAAATAAACTAATTCAAATAATAAGTGAAAATATGAAAGTGTTAAGTAAAAGGGAAGAGTGGATGTAAATGATATAATTGTGCAAGTTCGATCCAAAATAATGATCTACATCCCCCGTTAACAAACTCTCCGTTACAAGCAAGACTTATTCACTATATCGATTGATTTATGGTGCAATCCAACCATTTACAACACTCTCAATGACTTACAAACAAGAAATATCAATCCTTATATAATACTAAACTTTACAAGACCTCAATATGACCTACACTATTGAGATTTACGGAACTTTAATATGACCCACAAGTATAGAAAGAAAAGAAAAATTACAATGAACTCCTCTTTCAATAAATGATACTCCCTCCGTCCTAATTATATAGGTTGAGTTTCATTTTTCTCTTGTTCCAAATATATAGGCTTGTTTCCTAATTTAGAATATTTTATTTTATTTATTTACTAATATACACTTATTCAATTTTCTCTACTTAATATGTAAACTTATTGAAATCATTCAAATACACACTTCTTGAAAACATAGAACAAGTCCCATTTCTTCTTCTTCAAATTAAATCATTCAAATTCTTTACTAATTTCAACAATAATTTACTACTACATACTAAAAATTAAATAGGAGTAAACTAGAAAAGATATTGGTAAAAATTAATTTTTCAATGACATTAAATAAGATTTCTTAATTCGTGTAAAAAACGAAATAAGCCTATATAATTGGGACGGGGGAGTATAAGTGAATTAAGTACTGAAAGAGGCTAACACTTCAATGAATAGCAGCAATAAATGATAAGTTAAGTGTCAGATGAGAAAACTTTGATGAATATGATGATTTCAAAGTTTAATTCAACCAATCAAAATTTTTTAATGAGAAGATGAAAAAGAAATAAATGCATTGTTATTTCAAAAATCTTCTCTTTTAATGAATAACGGTATTAAATTAAGTGCAAAAAAGAGAGATGGGGAATATTGATGAATATTATGATTTTACAAGTTTGATTCTATAAATCAAAGTTTTTTTATATCGAGAAGTAAAAGAAATGATACAATGTAAGTCCAAAGTATATCTTTCTTCAATGAATGATAGAAATAAGTTAATTACAAAAAGAGATGAAATTTTTTGTTGAAAATGATGACTAAAAAATGTAAATCAATCAAAGTTTTTGATATAAAAAAAAACTAAATGAATACAAAAGAAAGCTTAAAGAATTCTAAAAGAAAATATCTCACTTGATGCTCGTGAAAGTCTTGTGAAAAATGAAAAAAGTGATGATATTTATAGAGTTCAAAACACCAAAAACACGTGTAAGTTCAGACAACATCTCCGATCTACCGCCTCTTGTCCGGAAGATCAATATAGTCGTTTGCCTAGTAAAATCAGAGGTGAAAGGTCAAATTTTGGACCGTTAGAAATTTCCAGTCAACTGTTTCTTTTGGTAGGTCGTCTGCCTTCGGCCATTGCCTTGTCCCGATGGTTGACCCCCCGCAGTTTCGATCTTTTTACATTTCAGCTCTGTTTGATCCAACTCGAAGGTCTTGAAAAGAGTGGACTTTTGGAAAGTATTTTTAACCATTTTTTGAAGATAAATGATATTTTTCAAGTTCATATTTCATTTTAAAAGTCATTTTTATGTTTGATCAAAACATTGTATGAAAATAACTTTTAATGTACAAAATTGCTTTTAATGTATAAAAGGATTTTGAGCATAAACATTCATTGTTAAATATCAAAGTATTAGTACCTTTACACTTGATCTAAGAAATCAAGTCTTTGATCTTGCTTCGAAGTTTGGCTTTTAAGCTCTTGAATGTGTGATTTCGACCTTGACCTCTTTCATGAGTTCGATTGTAATATTAACTTTTAATCTTTTGACAATCATTAATCAATTTTTTATTGGATGCTTTGAAAACTATAATCACTTTAAATTCAATTCTTATTAAACAAGATAAACTTATTTGTTATAATCAAAACTTTAAAGTTATAATGAACCTTATATTAACAATTGATCATGACAAACAAGATGATTTGCAAAATAAGATTAAACAATTGATTAAATTTTGCACATAATCCATATATTTTCCCTATTTTTCACAAACCAATAGTCTATTTATTCAAAACATATCATATAATTCAATTCAAGTATATCAATCTC